AAAAGTTCTGAAATTATTTATCTTTGTCTCATTTTTTTACATCACAGGAACCTGACATTTTAACAGGGGTATGTAAAATTTTTATATCCACTGTTCTTGCAAAACCAACTTAACCTCGTGTTTGCTGGCAATTCCTACCACTGCTAATCTGTCATGTGTTTGGTTTATTGATATATGTAAAAAAAATCTCACAAATTGCAGTTCAGAATGTTCATTTAGCCTGTTACTTTTTTTCTTCATTATACTAGAAGTGCTTGTCCTAATTAAACAAAAGACCTCTTCATAAAACATGCAGTAAAGATGCCTAGTCAAGGAAACTGTATACTAAGAATCGTGCTGACATTCAGCATTAGAACCTCTTCTGATCACCTTAAACTTGTACATGCTGTCCCAGCAGTTTGGGTTTAAAAGATTCCAAAGCAGGTCAAAGTCCATGTAGTAAACTGCATAACACATGCTGCTAGAGGCTGGAAAGTAGATAGTGTGACTTTTTTCTTTGATTTATATAGAGGTGTGAACAGTTTCAATAGTCATTTTGTAAAGCTTCCATGTGTCTGTAAATTTTAATTTGCAACATATTTACAAAATACAGACTAGTATGGCCTGTAAAATAGACAATTTTTCTCTTCAACCTTTTTTTTATGATTCCTAAAATACAATATATGAGTATACAATAAAAGCTAGCAAGCTTCTGGCAATGATGGTGCAGAAGTATCACATTTTTGTGGGGTGTGATTGAGCTCACCAGTGTGTGGCTGCTAGTTGTGTGCAAGATTTATGCTTATTATTATTATTTCAGGTACATTTATGCAGCGCTTTACATATATACAGGGGCGGACTGACAACTCATGGGGCCCCCGGGCAATAGGGGATCATGGGGCAGGCCCGAGTACTTGGTGTCATTCTGGACTCCAACCTATCCTTTCAACCCCAAGTCCAATCTTTAACAAACTCGTGCAGACTCCACCTCCGCAACATCGCCAAAATCCGCACGTTCCTAACCCCAGAAACCACTAAACAGCTCATCCACTCCCTCATCATATCACGACTCGACTACTGCAACTCCCTCCTCACTGACCTGCCTCGCCGCTGGCTATCCCCGCTTCAGTCCATCCTGAATACGGCTGCCAGACTCATTCACCTTTCTAACCGCTCCATCTCCGCCACCCCTCTCTGCCAATCCCTCCACTGGCTTCCGATTGCACAACAGATCAAATTCAAAATCCTAACACTGACGTACAAAGCTGTCCACCATACTGCCCCGAATTACATCACTGACCTAATATCCAAGTACCGCCCAGCACGCACACTCCGCTCCTCACAAGACCTCCTTCTCTCTAGTTCCCTGGTCTCCTCCTCCCATGCCCGCCTCCAGGACTTCTCCAGGGTGTCACCCATCCTCTGGAACTCCCTGCCCCAACCCATCAGATTATCACCTACTCTCCTCTCCTTTTAGGCGCACCCTGAAAACCCATCTCTTCAGGGAAGCCTACCCCACCCCCTGCTAACTTGCCGACCTCCTCCACTCTTTCTACCCCTCCATCCCCCACAGCTATCTCCTCCTGTGCCACCATCCCCTCCCTCCTAGATTGTAAGCTCGAAAGAGCAGGGCCCTCAATCCCCTCATGTTTTGCATTGTATTGGTATTGTTCTGTCACATGTTCTGTCCCCCTCTGTAATGTACAGCGCTGAGCGAACTATTGGCGCTTTATAAATACTGTATAATAATAATAATGGGGCCCCTGTGTCCTTGCTCAAACTCAAAAAAACCTATGAAAAAGGTACCGGGGCATCTCATGGGGCCCCCTACTGACCCTGGGACCTCGGGCAGTGCCCGAGTTTCCAAATGGTCAGTCCGCCCCTGCATATATATTGTACATTCACATCAGTCCCTAACTCTCAAGGTCCCTAACTCACATTGATACATTCTAGGGACAATTTAGACAGGAGCATTGACGGACTGACAACTCATGGGGCCCCCGGGCAACAGGGGATCATGGGGTCCCTGTGTCTTTGCCCAAACTCAAAAAAGCCTATGAAAAAGGTACCAGGGGCATTTCATGGGGCCCCCTATCAGGGGCAGACTGACAACTCATGGGGCCCTGGGCAACAGGGGATCATGGGGTCCCTGTGTCCTTGCCCAAACTCAAAAAAGCCTATGAAAAAGGTACCAGGGGCATTTCATGGGGCCCCCTATCAGGGGCATCATGGGGCCCCTGGGCAACAGGGGATCATGGGGTCCCTGGTCCTTGCCCCTCAAAAAAGCCTATGAAAAAGGACCCATCTCATGGGGCCCCCTCGGGCAGTGCCCTCGGGCAGTGCCCGAGTTTCCAAATGGTCAGTCCACCCCTGGACAGGGCCAATTCATCTGCCAGCATGTCTTTGGAGTGTGGGAGGAAACTGGAGTACCCGGAGGAAACCCACACAGGCACTGGGAGAACATGCAAACTCCAGGCAGGTGGTGCTGTGGTTGGGATACGAACCAACGACCCGAGTACTGCCAGGCGGAAGTGCTAACCATTTAGCCACTGTGCTGCCTAATGTGTATGTCAACATCCAAAAAGAATTGTGTGACTCAAAGTCATATCTATAACCACACCAGACAATGCAGCAATTGCAATGGGATCCACTATTGCAAGGCTGCATTAAGACCTATGAATGAGTAATAGTAATAGGCAAATCATTTTAAATAATACTAATCCATATACCATTAGGTACCTCTGAGATACCATGAAAGCATGCAGTCGTATTTACTATTTAAGTGTGTGTTAAGGATTAGTAAGGATTGGGACAGGTTAGACTCTCATGTAGGCAGGTGCAGTCTTCAGACTCCACTGCAGGTGGCACTTATCTGAAGCAGCATTGCAACTGGAGGAGGAAGTCAGGAGAAACTGTGTTTTTCTCTATGGTTTCCTCAGTCCGCTGGAGCAGAAATCTGGTTAGATTCACTGGATCCAAGTGACTCTGGTGGCCATCTTGGGTCATACAGAGTCTTTTTAAGTCTCTGCCCCTGGGTTCTGGCGCGCTTTGTGCGAGTGTCCAGTGTCAAGAACTGCACTAGCGGTAGGAAAAGGTTCCTGATAGTAGAGAAAGAGTAGGGCCTACATCTTCTTTTGTAGCACACTCCTTTTTGGGTTGGTCTGGCCAGGCCACATTCTGCTGTTGGTTGTAGGTGCTTTCCTTCCACAGCTTGGGCCTACTCTTGTCTGAACGGTCATAAGTGTCAGGTGAGCCTCCCCACCAGGCTTGTTGTACTTATGTAAAAAGTGCTAAAATATATCAGAGATAAAAATAACATAAAAATAACAATTGTTGTATAAAATAGTTCATAGCCGGTGTCAGAAACATAAATCCTTATTCCAACCAGAGACTGGTGTTTGTGCAGTCAAAAATGATAAGAATGCGCACTCACCAGAGCGCATAATCAAATGCGCATTTGTGTAAAAATATCCTGAAGTCACTAAGGATCATCAAGGTCTGGTCAGGAATGGAGATGAATCGCACACTAAATGCGCCTGGATCTTGTAACCTCTGGTGTATGATGACGAAGTAGCCGGGGACCTTTTAGGATAGCTCACCAGGTGTATGGGAATCCTTACTCCAAGTCCTGCAAATCTGTGAAGTAATCCTCCCCAAAGGAGTTTAAAGCAGACTCCTCCAGGAGTCAATAACGCCATGACGTCACGCCGCCGGAGCAACGTGGAGCTCCGGCGGCCATCTAATCGTGTAAACCTCTCGTTGAGTACCTTAATACTGTGCATGAAAGTGATAAGATTTTTGTCCCTGTTTTGATACTGTTTGGGTCTGCATTTTTAAACAATAAATGATAAATAAAAATATGCTTAGGAACTTTTTCAAGATGTCCTACAGAAGGCATTATATCTCCCTCTGCATAGTGCTGAATTGACTTGTGCAATTTGGGGTACTCTGTGTTTCAAAGGATCTTTCTTGAAAGAACATAAAGGTATCCTTGCTTAGGGGTCATAGATAAGGTAAGAAATGTAAATTTGTTTAGTTTTTTCCACAAGTGTGTTTTTTTTAATGTGGAATGCAGTATTCTGACATAGGGAGATAGGCCGCTATTTAATAAGGAATAAAACCTATATTAGGTTTTTATTATTATCTGAGTCCACTTTTTGGATTTCTTTTCTCCCTGCTTTTCTCATCAGGACAAGAAGTGAGAGGAATCTTTCCACTGGGCATGCAGATAAAACAAGTGAAAGATGTTCTAATTCTTTGCTGCTCTCATTAGGAAATATTTTATTGCTTTTGTTATCCCTTGGACAGAAAGGAGGTAAGTCCTCCTCACTGTGGAGTGGACAAAGACATCAACTGCATTTTATATACATTATATTGCCAAAAGTATTGGGATGCCTGCCTTTGCATGCACATGAACTTTAATGGCATCCCAGTCTTAGTCCGTACGGTTCAATATTGAGTTGTCCCAGCCTTTGCAGCTATAACAGCTTCAACTCTTCTGGGAAGGCTGTCCACAAGGTTTAGGAGTGTGCCTATGGGAATGTTTGACCATTCTTCCAGAAGCGCATTTGTGAGGTCAGACACTGATGCTGGACAAGAAGGCCTGGCTCGCAGTCTCCGCTGTAATTCATCCCAAAGGTGATCTGTTGGGTTGAGGTCAGGACTCTGTGAAGGCCAGTCATGTTCCTTTACCCCAAACCCACTCCTCTTTATGGTCCTTGCTTTGTGCACTGGTGTGCAGTCATGTTGGAAAATGAAGGGGCCATCCCCAAACTGTTCCCACAAAGTTTGGATCATGAAATTGTCCAAAATGTCTTGGTATGTTTGATGCCTGAAGAGTTCCCTTCACTGGAACTAAGGGGCCAAGCCAAACCCCTGAAAAAAAAAACCCACACCATAATCCCCCCCCACCAAACTTTACACTTACCACAATGCAGTCAGGCAAGTACCATTCTCCTGGCAACCGCCAAACCCAGACACGTCCATCGGATTGCCAGACAGAGAAACGTGATTCGTCTGCTCTAGAGTCCAGTGGCGGCATGCTTTACACCACTGCATCCAATGCTTTGCATTTCACTTGACGATGTAAGATTTGGATGTAGCTGCTTGGCGAAGGAAACCCATTCCATGAAGCTCTCTACACACTGCTGTTATGCTAATCTGAAGGCCACACGAAGTTTGGAGGTCTTTAGCTATTGACTCTGCAGACAGTTGGCGACTTCTGCGCACTGTGAGCTTCAGCATGCAGTGACCCTGCTCTATCACTTTACATAGCCTACCACATTGTGGCTGAGTTGCTGTTGTTCCCAGTTGCTTCCACTTTGTTATACTACCACTAACAGTTGGCTGTGGAATATTTAGTAGCAAGGAAATTTCACGGATGGACTTATTCTACAAATGGCAACCTATCACAATACCATGCTTGAATTCACTGAGCTCCAGAGAGCGACCCATTCTTTCACAAATGTTTGTAGAAGCAGTCTGCATGCCTAGGTGCTTGATTTTATACACCTGTGACCATGGAGGTGATTGGAACACCTGAATGCAATGATTTGGAGGGGTGTCCCAATACTTTTGACAGTATAGTTGTGTGTGTGTGTGTGTATATATATATATATATATATATATATATATATATCAATATATATACTATATATATATATATATATATATATATATATATACATACATATATCTATCTATCAAGGGAGGACTGACCATTTGGAAACTCGGGCACTGCCCGAGGGCCCAGGGTCAGTATGGGGCCCCATGAGATGCCCCTGGTACCTTTTTCATGGGCTTTTTGAGTTTGGGCAAGGACACAGGGGCCCCATGATCCCCTATTGCCCGGGGGCCCCATGAGTTGTCAGTCCGCCCCGATATATATATATATATATATATATATATATATATATATATATATACCTTGGATAACTAGTGCCAACTAGTAAAATTAATAAATGTCAATCCAGAAGGTTTAGAAAAGGATGTTGGAGTTTGTAACCTTTCCCAAATTTATTCAACACTAAAATATACCATGACTAAAAATATGGGAGCTTCCATTTCCAATTTATTAGTGATTTCCTAGTAGTCATGGACATTTACTGAGTTACTAACCAAGCATGTAGTCAGTAGTTAAGCACCCACCTTAAAGTTTGTTTTGGATCATTGAATTGCTGAGTAACCTAGAGGCACTGATTCTGATTCTTTTTCTCCAAGCAGGTTTAAATTATGGGGTTTATACACAATGTTAAACACCCAAAAGAATACTAAAAAATAGACAGTGTACATTATAGCTTATTTAGGAACACACCCTAATTAAATAGTGTATTTATGTCTATTATATTAGGGATTATGATTCCTTCTTGGCTAAATACTCATGACACATCTATGGATGTCTGTTTCTGAAAATGTAAAATGGAAACATTATTCATCATAATTATGTTTGTGATTTTGCATTAATCAGTTCCTAAAACCAATTATTGAGCAACAAAGTTATAAACTAAATCCTGGATTTATAGTGGTAATATGTTCTATCGCTACATGGAATTAGATTTGAAAAAAAGTTCAGCTCATTCTAAAGTTACATTTTCGTTATACATAGTCTAGTGGACTAAATCAGCCCCTTACTTGTTTCTATATTTTGGATACTCCAACAGTGAGATTTCTGTTAAATTCCTGAGTCTGTTTCTGTCTATCTGGGAGTTTGGGTGTCTCCATCCTACTTTGTTTGTTCTGGCACCTTCAGTTCCATTTTCTCCTTGATATAAAATAAATACAAGGATATTGGAGAATCAACTCCTACAAACAGGGACATTTTAAAGAGGTATGCCATAAAGAACAAGACAGTGTAAAATCTTCCAATTTATATTTAAAAACATATTATTATATTCTTAAAAAGCATCGATATTAACATACAAAATCATAAAAATATAGCAAATAGTACATTTGTCAGCAGTGTCATCTACAGAAGTACTATAAAGCAACATTATAAGCAAAGCCGGGATGATCAAGCAATGCCATGAATCTCAACACGTTTCAGGAAGAAACGTTCACTTCTTCAGGAGATATTTTATTCATGCAGATCAAATATATGTAGCACTACTCCCATAGGAACCACAAGAATACTGTCCAAGTCCTCCCCAAATACCTCTGCCCAGCAACAGGCACTAAGGTGCATTCAAACGTTTCTCCATCAGTCTAGGGGTGGTGGTTTTTTTTTTTTTTTTTTGGAGAACTTGGATACTTGGATAGGGTTGAGGGAGATGAGTTGGATACTCCAAAAACAGAAACTATATACATTTGAGGACTTTATCTAATCTTTATTAAAAGCTATGTTGGACTCCTTCCTTGAATCAAACAGTGGACATCAGCTTAAGGCTGTAGTAATAGTAGTAATGACTTCTTTAGATCCCCAGAGCAGTGTCCCTTTTAAGAAGTAGACCAGGTGGACAAAGCTCTTTGTGGGGAACACTAGCCGGTATTCCCTTTGCTAGACCCGCAGCTGACTTTTTGGCACCAGTGGAGGTTAAATAGCACACGCTCTCTAAGAACCGTTAGGGATGTCTGTAATCGCAATTCCCAAAGGCAGCTGAACACCTTCCTCCGTGATATCTCACCAGATCTTCAGTAGACAGCCCCTCAGTGGAACATGGGTATTAGCATTCAGGCCCTCAGGTCTCCCACCTGAGGCCGCACAGCAGTAGTTGCCTGGGAGGGCAATGTGCCCTCTCCCAGGCTGGACCAATCCTGGACAGGAAGAGACCCAGAACGTGGTGTGCTTACAGAATATATACAGTTACCCAGCATGTCTTCAGAGCCAGTCTCTCTGGGATAGATTCATGCTGCCATCTACATACCTCCACACCTATAATCCAGAAACTTCTCAAGTTTCCTGAAAACAGAGGAAGCTAAAGGCAGACTGGCAGCAGCTGAACAAACAGAGCAGACCTAACTAAATGATCACAACTCGCCAAGTACCGTAAGCTAACTATGCTTTTACCTAATACTACAGTGTGACAACTAAATTTACCTATCAAAGACAAAACTAATATTATCTACCTATCTCTAGCATCTACCTAGTAGGGTGCTATATATACACCAACGGAAAATCAACAGATTTGACAGAAACACCACTGGTTGGACATCGGGCACACAGGAGATCCCCACTAGCGAAGTCTGCTCCAGGAGCTATGGAAAGGGGAAGACCCTATCCCCAGGGCATACAGCAGAACCACAGGATGGTGAAGGCCTAAAAGAGAGGATGTAATTTGTCATAGAAAAAGATTAATATTCATACTGTGTTCTGCATGAGTTCCATCTATATGTCAAGAACCTTCCTTTTTTTGAGTTTTTTTTTGATACAGAGGAAGCCAGGGGCAGAACTAACAACACTTGAACAACTGAGCAAGCAGTACTAATACTTGCAGCTCTCTGTTAAGTAGAAAGCCTAAGTAGATTTTCCTAACAGTTCTCCTGTTAAGCAGGGGAATCAGACTGTAATCTACTTATCCTAGCACCCATCTAGGAGGGCGCTACATTGGTATCTCAGAACAAACAGAGGGCAAAAATCTGGTGGATTTTATTGAAAATTGACTGATCACTACTTTTGGCAAAGATTATTTTACACTCTTGTTTACTGCTGATCATGCACACAGGGCTCCAGCTCATCCAGCACCACAGGAAATACACCAATACCATTTCTCCTTATATTACTCAACTATAAAGACAAAGCTATGTGTGCTGAACAAGGACAGAGTTATGGGGGACATAGGGATTCATGGCTCTAAAATAGTTCTCTTTCTGAACTTCACTGCTGAACTGCAATGTCAAAGAGCCAAATACATGAGGTCAAAATAACCCAAATTCTTCAATTTACCTTATGCAATGCTGCATCCTGCTAATTTAAAGATCACGGCTAGAGAAAAACAGCATTTTTTTTAAATCCCCAACAGCAGCAATGAACTGGTTGGACTGCAATGAACACCATCTAGTAACATATTATTTAATGATTATTTGAAATGTTCTATAATAACTTTGGTCGCGTCATATGCTGATTATGTTTGAATATTGTTTTTTGTAATATTTTTCACTCATATGAGTTATCTTTTTCTTGTTACAGACACTGGTTGGCTCACTTGTTTTATCCCCTCAGTTGGATTTCAATTTTACTCCCTTCATCTTAGACCTGCATTTTACCTGCAGTCAATTAAATATAGATGCTAATTATAAATATGTATGTAAGAATAGGTGTGCATGTTGCAACACCCATCTTCAGGTACATATGTGACCTGGGACTACATGATGTGTGAAGAGAAACAACACTCCTTGGTTAGCAATTACTGGTATTAACTGTGGGCAGTAAGGAATTAAGCTTGGTAATTCCGCTGACCACTCCTGATATGCAAAAGAGCCAGTCCAATACGTTTGGCAGTCAGCTGTCCCAGAAAGCTCAGTCCTCACCATCAGGTCCTCTCTAATGTGGGCACATATGGCAACAGGTCTCCCCAGCTTAGCCCAAGGCACAGCAATTTTTCTATAGCTCAGTTTTCAGCTCCATGGGTGCTCAGAAGGGCTCAGTCTCTCCTTGGCGGAAGCACACACAGATCCAATGTCTGCCCAGCAACAGTAACCGCACACAGGCAGCTCTCTGCAGCAGGTCCATCCTTTCTCTGGCATAGTGTACATACCCCAGCAGCAGGTCTGTACTCTCTGGCTCCCCACACTAGACCTCAACAAGTGAATTGCCCAGGAAAAAGTCCTGTCCCTGTTTCTGTGTGCACAGATCTCTGGGTAATGAAGTCTACAGCCCCATAGCTTCAATTGTACAGCACCCCTTTAAGAACTACATATCCCATGATCCTCAGCAGATGCACAGCAAGTCCTCTCTGCTGCTCTTGATTGGTCCAAACACTGCAGCTGGGAAGGAGGGGCAAGTGAAGGATCACACACAGATCCCCAGTGCAATGACTGTGGGGAGAGGGATAGAAAGAGTTCAGACAGAAGCTCACACAGTCACTCTGTAAATAGCCTAGTGCTCTTCCAGACAACAGCACAATGGAGAGGGTGCCCTAGGAGAGTGTGCACAGGAGCGCAAGCATACTCATCAGCTGGATATACATTTTTCATTTATTACATTGCAGATTCCAGCTCCCCATGGCAATAGCTTGCCTATACTCCTCAAAAATGGTGTATAGGCAAGCTAATTGAAGACACAAATAGACAGCGAACTTGGAGGAAGAGGATTTATGACACCAGTGAGGACAGAATGGATTTGGGGAAATAGAAACTCACATTACTGGAGGAGAGCAGACCCAGACAACCCAGCCAGGCCTACCACCTTTTATTTCTGTGAAGAAGAAGAATCCCTGCTTTAGACTGACACCTACGTAAGAGATATAAAACTTCTGGTGCCGAAACCAAAACCTAAAATTCAGGATGCACTTGGCCGAAAACCGAAAATGGACAGTTTTTAAAATGAATATAT